TATTCAGCACTTCTCAACAGGCAAGATGCTATAAAACAGAGAAAGGAAAGAGAAAAGCTGAGAGTGTTATATGACATGCATGAGAGGGATCCTGAAACCACAAGGAAATGGTAGTCTACCACCTGAAGATGGGAGTTAACTTTGGATGTGCTCCACCCATTAGGCAATGTTCCTGAATGTAGTTCCTATCTGATTTTCTCCATAGCATAGCAGCTAAAAACTAATATCCAGATTTGCTAATATGAAGACAACTACACTGCCCTTTCCTTTTTTTCACTCTGCCTTCCAAGGGAACCCAATTAGGGTACTTAGGGCCTGAACTAGACCTGAGTAAAAACTGTAATTTATATAGTCTCAAAAATGAGAAAACACAACAGCACTAGGTTGTTTCTTACAATCTGCCTCACACCTTGAGCACCTGATTCAATAACATCTGCAAAACTCCCCTGGCATTCTAAGTTCAACACCACTCGCAGCTTCTCCCCCCCCCCCCACCCAATCACCATCATCATTATTAAATTTATATACCACCCTATACCCGGAGGTGATTCACAGAACAAAATCAAAATATAAAACCACAAAATATACAATCAAAATAAAAACCACCCAATAGAACACCCCCCCAAAAGAACTAAGAACTACATTTTAAAAGGGCTGTCAATCAAATCAACCAAAGGCCTGGTTAAAAAGGAACATTTTTGCCTGGCTCCTAAAGGTGTATAAGGGACGCGGGTGGCGCTGTGGGTAAAAGCCTCAGCGCCTAGGGCTTGCCAATCGAAAGGTCGGCGGTTCGAATCCCCACAGCGGGGTGCACTCCCGTTGCTCGGTCCCAGCGCCTGCCAACCTAGCAGTTCGAAAGCACCCCCGGGTGCAAGTAGATAAATAGGGACCGCTTACTAGTGGGAAGGTAAACGGCGTTCCGTGTGCGGCTCTGGCTCGCCAGAGCAGCGATGTCACGCTGGCCACGTGACCTGGAAGTGTCTCCCCGGCCTCTTGAGTGAGATGGGCGCACAACCCCAGAGTCTGTCAAGACTGGCCCGCATGGGCAGGGGTACCTTTACCTTTTTTAAGGTGTATAATGAAGGCGCCAGGCGAACTTCCATGAGGAGAGCATTCTACAGACGGGGAGCCACTGCGGAGAAGGCCCCTCATGTTGGCTTCCTGTTTTGTTTAACATCCTAACTGATGAAGAGTTCTGAGTAAGCTGAATATTCGCTTGCTATTCTGCGAGGTTTTAATTGGTTCTAAAGGGCAGTGCCTTCCTGTAGATTCTGGAGCCATTAGAAGTGTCGTTCTGTCAAGTATCGGGGTACCAAGCTTGAAGGCTTTATAGGTTAGAACAGCACTTGAACTGTGCCAGGAAATGTACAGCAGTCAGGTGTTATACGATCAGACTACTTTTTTCTTTTAAAATTACTATTTTAAAACAAATTGTTGCACAGTACAAAATATAGGATACAGTAACAAAAGCAACAGATCCATAACATAACAGTGTGCTCAAAGAAGTGAGTCACATGCAGATACAAAGACCAGTTTGAGAATCATCTGTAGGAACAATTTAATCAAGAAGGAGAGTCTAGGTAATAGGTCCAGCCCAAAGTTCTTTTGAGCACTTGAGAGTCTTATGATTTGCTCCAGCAGGCCTGGAACAGATTCATGAGAATCTCCTAATGAAAATACCTATGGAGGGGCCTCAACAGGCTGGTAAGAGGAGCACTAGCGGAGGAAGAGGAGTGCGGGGGGGAGCGCACCGCCCCCGGCAGCGCGATCCCAGTGGGGTGCCATCATGGCTGCCCGCCTGCCCACGCTGGGCACCACACCCCCAGGATGCACATCACACCCCTGTGGGCAGTGCGCCACGCCCCCAGGACGTGCACCAGCCCCACCATAGCCTGCTCTCCGCCCCCGCCCCCGGTGCCAGAGCATGAAGCTCCGCCACTGAAGAGGAGTTCAGGAGCAAGCTGGAGTAGCAGCAGCAGGACAATCTGCAAAGCAGGTGTGTTTGTTCTCCATCTGGCCCTGCTCTTGAAGGTGAGGAGGACACTAGAGGAACATTGCCAGCAGAGGGGCAATGTCCTTTTCCTTGTGGGAGGCAGTGTTTCTGGCAATCTCAAAAGGGGTGGCAAAGGGGAGTTCACCCCTGGGGGGGGGAAGAGTCACAAGGACTACTCCATTGACATCTCTCTTGAAAGGTTCCCTCCTCCCTCCCTTTTTCGGATGTTGTAGTTCCAAGGAAAATCTGCTATCTGAGAAGCTGGTGGTCCCATTTGGCAGGAGCCCGGTTATGTGCCTCCAAGAGAGGATATGTATTTCCAGAGGGCCCTACGAGCTATTCCGGCAGATAATGCTGGCTCTCCAGTTGAAGTCCTGGTTGAAATGTGGAATGCAGAAGAGAGCTGAGCAGCAGCTGACACAATTACTCCTGAGAAGGCTTCCTTGTCTGGCAAAGCTCAGAAAGCTCTTTGGTCTCCCCCAGATCTGAGAGTGATGAACCAGGCTGGGAGACAGATTGAGCTCAGGTAGAAAAGAAAAATCCCAGTGAAGACAACCAAACACTGGTATGTGTTCATGTTTCATGCCCACTCAGTACCAATGGAGGTGATGAAAAAACCCTCTTTTCCACCTCCACTGCATCTTCTTTATGCCATCCAGCACGAACTTTTCCAGGTAGTTTGGAGTTGAAAGGAGGCTGAATAGTGCCCACTGTACCATATCTGTAAGATATTTTGCGGATAAAGCTGCTTGCATGTACTAGGGGTGGATCCCACTATTATAGCAAGCGTGAGATCTAGAGAAGTATCTCCTCTCTGGTTTTACTTGAATGAATTTCTGCTGGTGAAGCCCAAGGACAAAGCACAATTCTTGTTCATGCAATTACTTGTGTATTGCATCCTTGTGTCTTGTGGCTCATTAAAATCCAGCCAGGAGGTGATGGCTCAATGTCTCCTTGTGGGAGGGAGAGGTCCTAGGCTACCTAAAAGAGGCAGTGACACCCTCCCTGGACCTGGAAGACTTTAATAACTTTAGGACACAGGCAAGTTGCCCCTTCCTTGAACCAGCCAATTTTCTGGAGCCATTTCAATTGGGGAAGAGGCCTTGTTTTGGCATAGAGACTGCTTTGGCCACCTTGTACCAGGAGAGGGGTGGGGGAATCTGACCCTGTTGGTTCTCCTTGATCTGTCAGCAGCTTTCCATACCATCAACCATTATATCCTTCAGCAGGGTCTATAAAATTTGGGAGGGTGGACACTGCTTTGCACTGGTCCCACTCCTACTTGAATGGGTAGCTCCAGCTGGTAGTGCTGAGGGGATATTGCTCGGCCCCACCGATTCCCAAGTATGATATTCCCCATGTTATTTAACATCTGCATGAAACCATTGAGTGGGGTCACAAGAGGCTTGGAATGTTCTGTCATCAGTGCACAGACAACACACAGCTCTATTTTACCTTTTCATCCTCAGCAAATGAGGCGATTACATCTTTTCTTACGTTACTTGTCAACAAAGAGCAATATAAGAGCAGAACCATCACCTCCCCAAAGTGCCCCAGGGTACGTGGTTACAGAGTACTCTGATGTCAGTGCCCATTACATATCAGAACAGATTATAGCTTAAAGTTATACCAACCAACACTTTTGCAGTGTGAAGGAGGCTCCAGCATGTCTTCTTTAGTAAAGGCACACCGATCCATTGAAAATGTGTCCGTTTGTTTCAAACCCCTCACTAATTATAAATTTTTAGCCAGATATTTTTCACAAGTGCTAACTGGAAGACTTCCTTATACCATGTGGTTATTGCTGTTCCCTCCAGAAATTTCCAGTATCTTCAGAATACCAGCCTAGCCACTGGCAATAAGTGGCCAATGAAAGACAGATTCATATTGTTTCATAAGAAAATATTAAGTAAGTCCTGGAAATTTAGCCATACGGTTTTGTTTCTAACCTTTGCATATTTAAATTGTAAGACACCTTGAGCCTTTCTTTAGAATGAAGTGTCTAGGAAATTTAATAAACCAAACCAAATTTAATAAACCAAACCTGAGTGTGTAGTGTAAGGACAGCCTGGGAAAGAACAAAGCCTTGGATAACAGAAAATAGAGAAATGCAACCCACATATCACCTGCGGTTGGTAGGATGGCAACTATTGCCAAATCTTAGTTTGGTTGTGCGACCTTCTATCAGACCAGTCAGAAAAGTCAGCCTCTCCAACTCACTTTCCCCTCCCTCTCATATCTACCAAGAACACCCAACCGCCACAAGCTGCAATGCTGAGCTTGGTATTTCATCATCACCATAACTGCCTCCTCTTAGGGATTTTCCCACAAGCAGCTCTCAGGTCTGGAGCAGCCCATGAGACCAGATTCTGTTGGGGGCACATGGAAAATTAGCTCTTCAGTTGTCAAGTTGCTCTTCGCAAAGATCAGCATAGCAGGAGGCAGAAACTGGCCTTGTCCTGAACAAGCACATGATCAAACTGCTCACCTGCTTTCCGCCTTTTTGATACCTCCCCAAAATTAGGAGAGGGAAAGTTCCTGTTTTGCACCATCGCTACCAAGTGGTCACTTCAAGCCACATCACAGAAAGGTTAAGACAGTCACCATGGTTACATCAGGATGATGTCACACCTGTTTCAAAGAGTCTCGTCTCCTTTGATAATTTTACGAGCTCAATACAGAGATCTGGGGAACAGGGAGAGAGAGAAATCATGGCTTGCCTGTCATAAACCTGGGGCACCTTTTGAATGCTCTTTGGATGCAAAGGAACTCCAAAGGAACTCCAAGAAAACCAACACATATACACCAACTGTGGATGAGAAGCAAGCCTCAGAAAATGACAACCAGGAAATGTGTGTGTGTGATTTAGTGCGATATTACACACACACACACACACACACACACACACACACACACACAAAATCAGCTTTCACAGTTGGCCGTACTTCCACTTCCAAATCCCCCTTCAGTGCTTTTGTCTTTTTAAAAGTATACAAAGAAACAGTACCTCCACCGCTGGCTTTCGATCCCGTGTGCTGGTGTCTTTATTGTCCTTTATTTCCACCTGCAGAGGAATTTTTTTTAAAATAAAAAGAAAGAAAGAAAACAGCAACTATCAAAACTAAATTTTAGAAAGCAGCCGAAGCAAAACAACAACAACGAGGTGTCCAGCAAGATGCAAGAGAGCTTTAATTTGCCAGGCCTGTGGTGGGCTATTTAAATGTTCATCCTCCATTTACAATAATCCTCTCAGGAGGAGGAGGAGGAGGAAGGGATGGTGCGGGAGGCTTGCATTTATTTTTTTTAAAGGTCTTTGAACATAAACATAAGAAAGGAATCCATTTGTTACCTCGCCCCAAACCTTCCTTCTGCAGCTTCCCACTCCGCTGGCCCGCTTCCCTTTGCTGCCTCCCAGCCAGCTCGCCTCCCCCCAAAAGCCAGCCTGCCTTCAGCCCCAGCGAGCCTCCTCCATCGCTACCAAGCAGCCATCTTGCCTCATTCTCCTTGAAGCGGCGTTACAGACACCCTGGTGCAGTCAGGGGCTTTTCTCCTGCCAGACGCTAGAGTCATTATCATACTGCCGAGCTCCCAGCCCTCTTCCCCCCCTCCCCACCAAACAAGCAGGGTGGACGTGACATGCATGCCCAGGCTTCCGCCTGCCTGCCTGCCTGCCTGCCTGCCTCACAGGAGGAGGGGCAGGGCGAGGGGAGGGGTGGGGAAAACCCAACCCTCCCAGCAGCAGCAGCAGCAGCCAGAGCAGGAGAGCGGTGAGGGTGGGCAGGGCTTTGCAGCTGCCTCCCCAGAGCTCTCACCTGCCTCACAGAGGCAGCAGACCAAAGCAAAGAGAAGGACGAGGAGGGTCACCCAGAGCTGTCACCACTGCTCTACTGACCCAGTGCCACTCCGGCCAAGATCTGTCCACCAGGGATGGAGAGCTGGGACTCTGCTACTTCCCCTGCATGGACACATTACTGAGGGAAGCAGCTCTTGGAGGAGGAAGTCCAGAGCAAGGATGAGGCCATTCACTCACGTGGGCCGATTCTCGCGGAGGAGGAACTGCGCCTGCCAGGGCCAGTTTGGCAAGGAGTAAGGCAGGCATCTCCAAGAATGCCATGAACGCCTGGCAAGGGCACCACGGCCACGTGTGGCTCTGCACGAAACAAATCACGCTGTGCATTCCCACCACCACCACAGTTTTTAATATTACAACAGTACGGAAATTTTAATAACAGATTGAAAAATGCACCCACAAACAAACCACATACAAAGAAAAAAAATCCAAAAGATATAAAGTTCAAAGACTTAGTTAGCAATAATTGTTCCTATTAGAACTCTTTAGGAACCATGCAATGCATGTAATCATGAGAAGCAGTGTAGTGGTTAGAGTGCTGGACTAGAACCTGGGAGATCAGGATTCAAATCCACACCCGAAACATTACAAAGCCACCCTTTGACTGGGGAAGCAATGGATTTCCCCCCTCCCCCGGCCACAGTGTTCAACAAATGGTTTCCAATTTTATTGCTGGTTTTTCTTTTCCTTTGCTCACAAATAACGTGTCATAGATTTTGCCATCACAGCAAAGATCCCAAACCTTTTCTAGCACTGCTCTGCATTTTTTAGTGTTCAGAGCGATTCAGCGTCCTGGTCAGGCAGGTCACCCTTTATATTCCCCACACTGCAGGTCTGTATTTCATGTATCAATTCTCCTCCGCACTTTGGCGGAGAAACCGTCCTTGCTCCAAAGCAGCCTGCCAAGGAACCCCTCACTCTAACGCAATCAATTTCTTATCAGCAGCTTCAGATAAAAGGAAGCACTCTGCTGCCATAAAATGATGGTTGCTAGGTTCTTTCACAACTATGCTTTCAGATAGTCTTTTTTATTATTATTACATTTATATCTCACCTTTCCTCCAAAGGGATCAAGGTGGTGTGCATGGTCCTTCCCATTTTATTCTAACAACAGCCCTGAGGCAGGTTAGGCTGAGAGCCAGAGATTGGTCCAAGGTCACCCAACAAGCAGAGTAGGGATTTAAACCCTGGTAAAAATGCAAGATGCAATCTGTCTAATGAAGAGAAGACATAGCCAGTTTAAAAAGGTAAAGGTACCCCAGCCCGTACGGGCCAGTCTTGCCAGACTCTAGGGTTGTGCGCCCATCTCACTCAAGAGGCCGGGGGCCAGCGCTGTCCGGAGACACTTCCGGGTCACGTGGCCAGCATGACAAAGCTGCATCTGGCGAGCCAGCGCAGCACACGGAAACACCGTTTACCTTCCCGCCAGTAAGCGGTCCCTATTTATCTACTTGCACCCGGGGGTGCTTTCGAACTGCTAGGTTGGCAGGCGCTGGGACCGAACGACAGGAGCGCACCCCGCCGCGGGGATTCGAACCGCCGACCAAGCAATCGGCAAGTCCTAGGCGCTGAGGTTTTACCCACAGCGCCACCCGCATCCCTATAGCCAGTTTAGGTGGCTTTTAAAAGGGGCGGGGGTAGAAAACTTCATGGAGAGGGCTATCCAGGATTATCAGCCATGACAGTCTTTACATCCACAGTCTCCAACCTGGTGCCTTCCTGATGTTCTGTACTACAACTCCTATTAGTTCCAACATCCTACAGCTCCATTGTTTGAGGCTGACAACATCTGGAGGGCCGCTGACTGGGGATGGCTGCCTGAGACAGAGACGGTACACCTGGGAATGCCAGATGCTGGGTGAAAACGAACAACAGGGGGAGACCTTTTTTGGCCCAAGAGGTGTGTCACTGACCAGCCATTGCTGTAATCCAAATGCTGAGCTAGGTGGATGTTTGGTCCAATTCAGCTGGGCTCTTCTAGTTCGGAAGAGATTTTTTTTCCCCTGGCAGGTAGGCTTTCTAATAGGCAATTCCTCCCATCCAACTCGAAAATGAGCAATCCAACAAAGCCTTTGCTGCTCAAGAGTCTGCTGAAAATATAAGATTATAAACTTGATCTAGGTGGCAGGGTGTGTGGAATGTGAGTCTTCATAGTATCATAGAATCACAGAATTGTAGAGTTGGAAGGAATCCCAAGGGTCATCTAGTTCAACCCCCTGCAATGAATGAACCCTTTGCCCAATGTGAGGCTTGAACCCACAACCTTGAGATTAAGCGTCCATGCTCTACTGACTAAGCAATCCCAGGATAAAGGCTATGTTTCCTTAGGCATGTCATACTTAGGCTGATGGGTCACAGTTTGCAGGCAATGTTTGCAGGACTAACATCATTCCTCTCAGAATGGTCTTTGTTGTCTCATTCAAACAAGAAAAAAAGGTGTGTCCCTTATTGCAACAGAGGGCCCTACAGGAAGACAGCAGACACAGAAGGGTGACATCCAGCTCCCAAACACATTTGCACAATCAACCTTCATAGCTTATTCCTCATGCATAGGAACCTCTCAGACAGCCAAGCACATTCATGCAGACATGCAAACTACATGGAAATGTGCTCTTAAAGAGAAAGCTGCGTGCCCAGTCACATTCTGCTCTACAAGATCTGCACAGACCTGTCCCATCATCTGTAGAAATCCGTCCCAGATTGAAATCAGCTGCCTACATGAAAGGAATTCACTCTACCACAATCCAGCACATTTCTGGAATCAGCAGATGCAAGTAAACTGGTTGCTAGACCTGTTTGTGCCTGCCAGAGGCTGAATGCTCCTCATGACTACAGGTGCCGTGCAAGGGGGTGGCGAGCCTTTTCAGCTGGAGGCCTGCGTTTCCCGCCAGCCAACCCTCCAAGGCTTGCATGCCAGCAGTGGGTGTGGCCAAGGCAAAAGTGGGCATGGCCAGCCCATATTCAGACAGTACCTGAGCCTGCATGCAAGCAAGCAAGCACACACTACACACTCCCAATCCCAGTTGACAAAGCTATCTCCAGGAAAGAAGAGGGAAGCCACTGTGAGCCTCTGAGGGAAGAGACATCAATGATGCTGAAAACACTGGAGATCAGAGTGCACTGGAAATGTTTGGATTTGATATCCCGCTTTATCACTACCCTAAGGAGTCTCAAAGCGGCTAACAATCTCCTTCCACTTCCTCCCCCACAACAAACACTCTGTGAGGTGAGTGAGGCTGAGAGACTTCAAAGAAGTGTGACTGGCCCAAGGTCACCCAGCAGCTGCATGTGGAGGAGCGGGGAACCGAACCTGGTTCACCAGATTACAAGTCCACCGCTCTTAACCACTACACCACACTGGCTCTCTTGTTGCCAAATGAAATGTCCAAAGCCAAAGAAGGCTGAGGAGGAACTCCAGCAACCAGGAGGTTGTGAGCCTGCCTGGTGCCCTGCACCCCTGTCCACTGCTCTCTGCATGCCCAGCGGAAGGAGAACACCTTATGCCAGCTAAGATAATATGGGTAAAGCCGCTTGATTTGCATAATGAATACAGGTTGCATAGTTCAGATTTTCCTTTTTCCTTTTTCCTTTGTGATTAAATGAAGCACAGCCCTGTCAACATGAACAACTATAAGTTACTATTGCAAGGTACAGTGGTGCCTCGCAAGACGAAATTAATTCATTCCGCAAGTCTCTTCGTCTTGCGAGTTTTTCGTCTTGCGATGCACGGTTTCCCATAGGAATGCATTGAAAATCAATTAATGCGTTCCTAGGGAAACCGCCTTCAGACCAGGTCCGGGGAAAGTCTGTCCCCCGACCTCTTCTGAAGGCTGGGGGGGGGACAAGGGCTTTTCTTCCCACCCCCAGCATTTTAAAAAACCCCGGGACAGCGGAGGACTTCTCCGCTGTCCGGGGCAATCTTAAAAAGCTGGCGGGCGGCATTTTAAAATCGCCCGGGACAGCGGAGGACTTCTCCGCTGTCCGGGGCAATTTAAAAGCCCCTGGGAAGGCAGGCAGGGGGGACAAAGATTTTCGCCCCCCGCCCGCCTTCAGAAGAGGTCCTGGACCTCTTCTGAAGGCGGGCGGGGGCGAAAGTCTTTGCTCCCCCCTGCCTGCCTTCCCGGGAGAGCGGAGAAAGGCAGCACGTTTCTCCGCTGTCCCGGACGGCTTTTGAAGGCAGGCGGGGGGGAGCAAAGACTTTCGCCCCCCGCCCA